GCCACAGCAGGAGCTGCACAGCAGCAACTGGAAGAGACAACAAGAGCAGTGGCCCAGGTCCTCCGAACACCAGCTCCTATGCCAACACCTTCCGAGCAGAGCAGGGAAGCTTAGCAGCCTCATCTCCAAGGACTCTTCAGCCTTTGATAACCCACCAGCTGCAAACCTTGTGCTAAAAATCTCAGTTACAGTACTGGATCTTCAGGATACAAATTTAATACTTCATTAGTGGGCCACTGTTACAACCTCACAAAACCCAAAAGTTTCCAGTGGAACTTTTCTAGCTTGTAACAAATGCTAGGAAAGCAAGAAAAACCCAAATTGAGTTACTCATGTAATTTCAAATTATTTGTTCTGCTCCTGATCAAATACTCTCTTCTTCCAGGAATACTCCTGGAATTTCATTGCCAAGTAACTGTTCCTTAATCAGAAGAAATCCATTGTAATTAACTTGATCTTAAATTTTTCAGTCACATCATGGTAAACTGGTAATATGCTATGAACTAACTTCTTATGAGGGATTTCCTCTCTTCAGATAAAAGTAGTAATCATAAATTAAATTTTCCTAGATTTGAATAAAAGTCAGACTATAATGATTATTCAGAATGTGCTAGCTGGAAGGCATGCCTAAAGTCATCGCCTCCTTTACAATGCCAATCTATATAACTCAAAATACCAGCACTACACCGTCGTGGACAAATACATAAAGACTGCCACATCTTTGAAAACCTAGGTGTACTTGAAGGGTCAGGATTTGTTAGAAGTCAAACACCAGTTGTGAAAATCCCTAAGGAAACAAATACTAACAGCTGCCATTAAGACCAGCACTTAGCAGCAAAGCAGTCAAGGTGCCATCAGGGGTGAAAATGAGTACTGTCGTGCTCCCTTCCCCTGCTGCCACCGCCCTATGCAAGCAAAAGGAGGGAAACAGATTTTAACGACTGACAGAGCAAAGATTGACGTAAAGCTGCATCAAATGCATTGCATCGATTTGGTATGTGCTCAAGACAAAGTACACAGACCTGTCTCTAGGAGTTTACACTCTGAAGAAAAACTTCTAGACAAGGTACCAGGAGAAGACAAAGAGCAGCAACGCAACCGTAACAGTGCTAATACATTCACATGAACCTTAAAAGCTGTTTGAGGAAAAGACTAGATTATACACACCTTAGAATTATGTTATAATACAGAAATATGGCAAACAGAACACGGAAAGGAGATTTTCAGGCACTCCTTTATGATTAGCCTGATTTTGAATGAATGTGAGGCACAGACATAAAACTAAAGGAGCCACAGGCTCTAGCTAGTGCATGGATAAACAAGAGATTGAACGCCCATACACCATTCATAGGCAACATTAGTACTGGAACACCTGCAGTCACACCAAACAAATTGTTTGCAAACATGGAACGCGAGTTCTTAGTAGAGGACTGGGAACAGTGAACACTTATTTTTTCTCTTAACTGTACCTCAAGGTGCTGTAAGAGAGATTTTCCCTTTTTATTGATTTCATTGATGAGGGTGAATATAGCCACTTTGATTTCCTGTTCTACTCGTTTGTTAGTTTCATTTACTTCTTTTATCCTAAAAAAAAAAAAAAAAAAAAAAAAAAATGTACTGTCAGGCAGTCACTTTATACTATTCCGCCAAATTTTCAACACCACGGGCATCTTACAGAATCACAGAACCATTTGTTTGCAAAAGCCCTTTAAGATCATTGAGCCCAACCATACCTGTCCATTACTACACCCTGGCCCTCAGCACCGCCTCTGCCCGGCTGTTAAATCCCCCCAGGGCTGGGG